AACAAGCCCTCATTAAATTAGAGAAAAAAATGTGGAAAATACACATTAACTAGTGCTAGATTGTGTGATGCTGACTACGCATGCCGTGTTAATTTTTTTTTAATTGCAAGATCATTATATGCAAAGGTCAAGGAAGGTTTTGGGAAGAGATGGAACTTGTACAGAGCCTCAGAGAAAATATATTAGGTCTTAGACTGACAGAGGTGTGGTCGCACTGGGTGGATCAGTGAATAAGAAGAAACAATAGGAAAACTTGAAAAATTTAACACATAATTTTTTTTTAAAAAAGTCTTCATTGGAGAGATGTTTAGAGAGCTTACCAAACTTAATTTTTAAGCCATCTCAAATCACCCTATTTGGGGGTGCCCGGGTGGCTCAGTCAGTTAAGTGACAGACTCTTGGTTTCGGCTCAGGTCATGATCTCATGGGTCGTGGGATGGAGCCGCATGTGGCACTCCACACTCAGTGGGGAGTCTGCTTGAGGATTCTCTCCCTCTGCCCCTCCCCCCACAGGCATGCTCTCTCACATGCGCTGTCTCCCTCTCTCTCTGAAATAAATAAATGTATCTTTAAAAAACTAAAAAATAAATAAATAAAATAAAATCACCCTACTTGAACATTTTCCCAGAGTTCCACATCATGGCTCATATTGTGTTCTGGAGAAGCCCATTAGGCTGACGATCACACTGGTACCTTCTCTGCTTCACCTAAATTTTCACTTTGGTGGTTTTCCAGCAAAGCAAAGACAGGACTGGTCCTGGTAGAATGCCACAGAATGTCAAATCTATTATCTACTTTTTCTGGGTTCTGAGAACAGAAAATGGGACATGAGCCTTTGACTGGGACATAGACAAGGAAAACCTAATACTTCCTTAGTGCTATTAATCCAGCAGAGCTCTACCCTGAGATTTCAGCATGGACAAGTCTTCATGACTGACACAATATTAAAGCATCTGAGTGATATAAATTTTATTTTTTCTTTTCAATTCCTCTGTAATGAAGAGCCCAAGTCTCAAAGCCAAGTAACAGTACAATACTGTAACTGTGCTCTGGACCCAGCAGCATTAACCCTTGATAAAGAAGGACCATTCTTGCAGAATGGAGCAGAGGCACTTGGGTCCTTCCTGGGCCAGTCAGTATAGTTAGTATTCTCTGACCTCTCAGTGCTTCAGTCTCCAGTCTTATAAAAGAAAGATAATGAGATTTTTCTGTCTATATAAACAGAATGGGAATCCTCAGATTATTCTTTTTTGATGAACCATGATGAGTGAACAGGGCTAGATTTTAAGGATTCCATGTTGGTCTTAAAAAAAAAAATAGACTGGGGCGCCTGGGTGGCTCAGGCGTTAAGCATCTGCCTTCGGCTCGGGTCATATCCCAGGGTCCTGGGATTGAGCCCCACATCAGGCTCCCTGCTCAGCGGGAAGCCTGCTTCTCCCTCTCCCACTCCCCCTGCTTGTGTTCCCTCTCTCGCTGTGTCTCTCTCTGTCAAATAAATAAATAAAATCTTTAAAAAAAAAAAAGACTGAACCAATATGTTAGGTCTTGATAATTTTCTACATTATTTGGCATTTACCAAACTTTTAAGGAACTAGAAAACAATAAAAATTATTTCCCTATCCAAACATTATGTCAGAAGCTTCTTTTTAAACAGAATTTTAAAATAACGATACTGTGTTAAATAAAAGAACATTATATAGTAATGAGGGCCACTTCATTAGGATAATATCAAACCTGATTTTAGAATTTAGCATTTGAATCTACATATAACCTTTCTGAGGATGGACAAAGTGCAGCAAGAAAGATAAGCTAATTCTCTTAGGTTTTTCAGGTTTCTAAATATTTTGCCTTATGTTGTGCTGACTTTAAACAACAGTGGGTAAGAGAGACATCACTGGATTAAAGATCAAGCTTCATTCATAATGGAGAAGGAGTTTTTCTGTTACTATGAAAGCTATTTCAGCCATTTTCTCAAGGCTATTCAGAAGCAATTTGGGGGGGAAGTTTGCCTCTGTATTATTTTGCTTGCTCGACCATGATTTTAGAATAATTAATACTTTCCCTTTATTCTCATAGAACCTAATTTCTGTCCAGCCTCCTTTTGAGTGTATTGACTACAGGAAGATAATGGAATCAGACAAATGCATCCCACCACCTGGGCTGAGGTTCCCAACAGATCACATACTGGTGGATGACAACAGAATCAAACATAAAGCAAGGTTTGTCCAGGGAATTCCTTGAAGGACACCCATAAATAAGGCTATCCCTCTGTGAGAAATAGAGATTCTGAGATTATCTGTGGTTACATTGTACACAGTGCTCGTGATGGTTCTATCATGATGGTTCTATCCTAGAATCCAGAGATTAAGAGAACCATATAAACCCCTAAATAGAAAGGTAAAAAGAAAAATGTTCACTCTTCACTAAGTACTTTATTACATTAAGTTTGCTACCTGATCCCAAGAAACAGTGACAGTTCTAGGAAAATCCCCAGATCATAGGCTTCAGTGCTAAAGTCCTTAAGGATGCAGGAATGAGCCAGGCTTACAATTGTCTTCTCACAACTTATCACTTCCACTTTCCTCTTCACCCACCTCCGGAGTAGCAGCAAGTGAGGGGAGAAACAGAAGTCAACTCTATTATCATTTGGACCAATCTGCACATAATGTACTAACCATCAAGATTTAGGTTCTAAATCTTCACATTCTATTAAAGGGCCCTACAGAGTCTCCTCAAAATTCAGAAAACCAATAGTTGGATGTGTTGGACAAAGGAGGGATAGAAATGCTGAAAGCCATTGAATCATTTAATAGTCTCCATAAACCTATTGTGAACCAAAGTTTCATATAGTCTGAAATGTAAGGGTGGAAGTCACTGACACCAGGGATAAAATCCAGTTCCTTACAATAAAACAACGCTGAGATTTGCAAATGATTGCCAGGGTTGAGAAAGCCCTGACAGATATAATGGGCTAGAATGACCGATTACCTTAATGTGCTTCCAGGAGAAGCAGACCCAAGTGTTTAGGTGTCATAATCATTAGTAACTTAGGCTGAGTAGGATGATTGTATCTACAATAATGCATTACACCAGCTCTTTTTCTCCAGGGGCATTGATATGCTAACGAGAAAAGAAATGAGCAAACTTCATTTAGATGTAATATCCTAAGAATGAAATTTTATAGATTTCATGTTCTCTTATGAACAATTAATGAAAACATATTTTTAAGGTGCCAAAATTGCTTACCATGGAGGAAATCCCCAATCTGTAGGAAAATCATCATTAGACCCAAAAATATAAATGCAAACTTTTTCCCACCTGCATTTTTAGAGAAAAAACTGAAAACAATTCCTTACACCTTCTCATCATCCTAGAATTGCTATATTAATTTGTTCTCATCAGTTGATGCTAAAGTTTCTGTTCAACCCCACTCTGTAAATGGCTTAGAGATTACTATTTTTTTATGAAGTCATAATTAAGATTCTGAACACTAATTTCTTTATTTCATTATTTTACTTAATTTTAGCACTTTAAGAAAATTACAGATTCTGTCAAATAGTCTATCCATTCATGTTAGGTAGGACTAGTACCTTAACTGTCAGAAAGCAAGGTCTGTGAACCTCGTGCCAAATAACTACGTGAGCAAATAGTGAGATAAACAAGTCCTTCATGGAGACAGAGGTGGAGCTGGGCTTGGTTAGGAATGAATCAGGCCATCCCACAGAGTGGGTGTCTCCTTCCCAAGTTGCTCTTCAGGGCACAATTAAATCCCCTATAAAAGGCCCAGCTCCCAACTGTCCAGTACACTTGCCAGCAGTGTCAGCGAGGGCTCAACTTCCTTTGGTGAAGTGGGTAAGTCCCAGTCAGTGGGATCATGTTCTTCTGTACGATTCATTTCCAGCTATAGTAGATGTTTGGTGGGGGAGAGGAGGGTCTGTGTGCCAGAAAGGACCAGTATCTTACAGTGATGTCAAACTCCCACTAAGTCCATGCCATCTTATAGCTGAAGCCATCACTCAAATGGAAACATGGCTCTTCTCCCAAGGCTTTGAATTCTATAAGTTTGTTTGCATATCAGGGGTTGGAGGATGTCATGTGTAACTCTGATGGGGTTCTTCTTCCTAAAAACTGCCATCTCAAAAGATCGTCAACCCTCAGTACTCTTTCTATATTGGTTCTACTCAATATGGGCCATCTTCATGTAGTTATGACATCTGAGGTATTGGAGTTGAGAAGTAATTAAAGAAGCCAGCCAATAACTGAGTATTTGCAACATATCTGGGTTAATGCAGATAACATATACACTGTTTTCTGCATAGTTATATCTGAATATTATAATGCCATCTTTGACTAGGAAGAAGTGGTGCTTACTCTTAGAACTGGTGGCTTATGAATTATCCTCATAGATGCATGTACTATAAGGTTGGAAAATAATCCACATTCCCTTTTTATTTTTCTGGTTACCACCAAATGTTTTGCTGCCACAATTAGATCTACACGGCTTCTATCCACTTTAAGATACTTTTAAATCTGCCTTTACCTTTTGGCTTTCACCTATTCTCTTTATTCAACTTTAGAGGAAGATACTTATGAGTAACAACATATCAAATGTAAATTTCTACACTCTTCACTATCTGATCTGACCTATGCTAGGGAGCAGGAAGAGAGAGAAGGAAAGGATATGGATAATCCAGATTGAGTGGACAATCAAAAGCTGACTACAAGATAGTCTGAAAATAATTCCTGGCTTGAAATTTCTCAAAATCTGTCTTCCCCTTTCTAAGTACAATATTTAAAGATAAAAAGTTTTGAAAGCCCAGGTTGAAATTAACTACTGTTGTAAATTTTGTTCTGACTGAAACAGTGTGGATGAAGCCTCCCCTAGATCAGAAACAGAGTTGTGATTCTGAATCCTACTTTATTCTTCTAGATTTACTTGAACTTGAAGGAAGGAAAAAAAAATGTCTCCACTTCTGAGAAGCATCTTCAATATCACTGAAATGTTCAATCAATATGCCTCATATGATTGTGATGGGGCAGCACTAACCAAGAAAAACCTGAAGAACCTCCTTGAAAGGGAATTTGGAGATGTCCTTCAGGTAAGAACAAAAGAAAATCTATTGATTTAGGGTTATAAAATTTCTTCTCAGGAGAGATCATAGCAAAGAATGGTGACTTATATCCATTTTGTACCATCACAGCTCTACACTACCTTCCCTATTCATTTCTTTTTAAGATTTTATTTATTTATAGGAGAGAAAGACTGCATGCACTCAAGTGTGGGGGGAGGGAGCGGGACAAGCAGACTCGTGCTGAGTGCGGAGCCCCCTTCGGCTCAAACCCCCAACCCTCAGATCATGACCAGAGCAGAAACCAAGTGTCCAGCCACTTAGGCGCCCCCACCTCCATTCATTTCTGAGTACTTAGCTGGCACTGTAGTCCGAGAACTAAGGAAGTTGCTAACAACTATTTCATGTACTTGATGGCAATATCATTGTGAATGAACTGTTCATGGGAAGTTATCATCAAACATGTTAGATCAAACTAAACTTGGAAGAAACTTAAATTTATTTCCAAATTTTAATAATTAAAATCAGCCTGTTCTCTAGTAAAATGGTGTTAACATAAATGTCTTGTTCTGTTTTCAAACATGGGATAAAAATCGATAAAACAGGGGTACTGGCTATTTCAGACAGAAATGACTGCTGTAAAATTTCATAAATTTTCATTGTATTTCTCTCTTGAGCATGAGTTCATTCTTATTCACCCAGCTCAAGAGAACATGGATTCTTTTGATCATTAAATTACAAGTTACAAAAATTTTCAACAAATGTATGTTTTAAAATGAAGTGTTCACATTTTACATAGGGACAAGACTTGATACACACTGGATGTTTTTCTAATTGCTCTTAATGTCTTCTGAGTGTCGACATATTACAAAATACTCATTGTGTGTATTAAAGTTTACTACTGTAAATAGTACATTGTAAAATTTTTGTTTTCTTTTCTTTTCTTTTTTTTTTTAATAGAGACCACATGATCCTGAGACAGTAGATCTGATCCTGGAACTTCTGGATCGCGACTGTAATGGGCTTGTCGATTTCAATGAATTCCTCCTGTTCGTTTTCAAGGTGGCTCAAGCTTGTTATTACGCTCTCAGCCAGGCTTCCGGGCTAGATGAGAAGGGGGCCAAATGTGAGGGAAAGGAGAACCCATTACAAGATGCCAGGCAAGAAGACCAAAGGAGATTTGAGCCCCAGGACAGACAATTGGAAGAACGCAAGCAGAAGAGGCAAGAACTGGAGAGGGAGCTCGCTGAGGAAGAGAAGCAGCGGCCGCAGAGGCGAGAACGGGAAGAGCGCCTTGAGGAGGAAGAGTATCTGCAGAGGCGCAAAGGTCGGGAGCCAGAGAAATTTCCTGACCAACAGCGAAGGCGAGAGAGGCGGGAGCAGCACCAGCTCCAGGAGGAAGAGCAGCTGCAAAGGCTAGAGCGCCAAGAGCAACGAGAGCAGGAGCTCCGGCAAGAGGAGCAATTGCAAAGGCAGAGGCGCGAGGAGCCGCGCTTGCAGCAGGAGCTGAGACGCCAGCAGGAGCAGAGACGCGAGCAGCAGCTGAGGCGCGAGGAGCAGCGCTTGGAGCAAGAGCTGAGGCGCGAGCAGGAAGAGAGACTCGAGCAGCAGCTGAGGCGCGAGCAGGAGGAGAGACGCGAGCAGCAGCTGAGGGGAGAGGAGCCGCGCTTGGAAGAGGAGAGGCGGAAAGAGCAGCTGAGGCGCAAGGAGCAGCGCTTGGAGCAAGAGCTGAGGCGCGAGCAGGAGCAGAGACGCGAGCAACAGCTGAGGGGAGAGGAGCCGCGCTTGGAACAGGAGAGGCGGAAAGAGCAGCTGAGGCGCAAGGAGCAGCGCTTGGAGCAAGAGCTGAGGCGCGAGCAGGAGGAGAGACGCGAGCAGCTGAGGGGCGAGGAGCCGCGCTTGGAACAGGAGAGACGGAAAGAGCAGCTGAGGCGCGAGGAGCAGCGCTTGGAGCAAGAGCTGAGGCGCGAGCAGGAAGAGAGACTCGAGCAGCAGCTGAGGCGCGAGCAGCTGAGGGGCGAGGAGCCGCGCTTGGAACAGGAGAGACAGAAAGAGCAGCTGAGACGCGAGCAGGAGCAGAGACTCGAGCAGCAGCTGAGGCGCGAGCAGGAGAGACGCGAGCAGCTGAGGCGCGAGGAGCAGCGCTTGGAGCAAGAGCTGAGGGGCGAGCAGGAAGAGAGACGCGAGCAGCAGCTGAGGCGCGAGGAAGAGCAGAGACGCGAGGAGCAGCTGAGGGGCGAGGAGCAGCGCTTGGAACAGGAGAGGCGGAAAGAGCAGCCGAGGCGCGAGGAGCAGCGCTTGGAGCAAGAGCTGAGACGCGAGCAGGAGCAGAGACGCGAGCAGCAGCGCTTGGAGCAAGAGCTGAGGCGCGAGCAGGAAGAGAGACTCGAGCAGCGGCTGAGGCGCGAGCAGGAGGAGAGACGCGAGCAGCTGAGGGGCGAGGAGCCGCGCTTGGAACAGGAGAGGCGGAAAGAGCAGCTGAGGCGCGAGGAGCAGCGCTTGGAGCAAGAGCTGAGGCGCGAGCAGGAAGAGAGACTCGAGCAGCAGCTGAGGCGCGAGCAGGAGCAGACACGCGAGCAGCAGCTGAGGCGCGAGGAGCAGCGCTTGGAGCAAGAGCTGAGGCGCGAGCAAGAAGAGAGACTCGAGCAGCAGCTGAGGCGCGAGCAGGAGAGACGCGAGCAGCCGAGGGGCGAGGAGCCGCGCTTGGAACAGGAGAGACGGAAAGAGCAGCTGAGGCGCGAGGAGCAGCGCTTGGAGCAAGAGCTGAGGCGCGATCAGGAAGAGAGACTCGAGCAGCAGCTGAGGCGCGAGCAGGAGGAGAGACGCGAGCAGCTGAGGGGGGAGGAGCCCCGCTTGGAACAGGAGAGGCGGAAAGAGCAGCTGAGGCGCGAGGAGCAGCGCTTGGAGCAAGAGCTGAGACGCGAGCAGGAGCAGAGACGCGAGGAGCAGGGCTTGGAGCAAGAGCTGAGACGCGAGCAGGAGCAGAGACGCGAGCAGCTGAGGGGCGAGGAGCCGCGCTTGGAACAGGAGAGGCGGAAAGAGCAGCTGAGGCGCGAGGAGCAGCGCTTGGAGCAAGAGCTGAGGCGCGAGCAGGAGGAGAGACTCGAGCAGCCGCTGAGGCGCGAGCAGGAGCAGACACGCGAGCAGCAGCTGAGGCGCGAGGAGCAGCGCTTGGAGCAAGAGCTGAGGAGCGAGCAGGAAGAGAGACGCGAGCAGCAGCTGAGGCGCGAGCAGGAGAGAAGCGAGCAGCTGAGGGGCGAGGAGCCGCGCTTGGAACAGGAGAGACGGAAAGAGCAGCTGAGGCGCGAGGAGCAGCGCTTGGAGCAAGAGCTGAGACGCGAGCAGGAAGAGAGACGCGAAGAGCGGCTGAGGCGCGAGCAGGAGGAGAGACGCGAGCAGCTGAGGGGGGAGGAGCCCCGCTTGGAACAGGAGAGACGGAAAGAGCAGCTCAGGCGCGAGGAGCAGCTGGCTGAGGAGGAGGTGGAACAGGAAGAGGCCGGTGATCGGCGCAAGAGCCGCACCCCAAGGTGGCAGTGGCAGCTCGAAAATGAAGCAGAAGCTCGTCAGAGCAAAGTCTACTCCAGGCCCCGCAGGCAGGAGCTGAGGCACTGCCAGGAGCAGGAGGTGGAGAAGAGGCGGCGCCAGGAGCGCGAGCGGCAACTCCTGGAGCAGGAGGAGGACCTCCAATGGCAGCGCGGGTTCCGGCCCCTCCGGGAGGAGCGTGAACGACGGCTGCATCGGGAAGAGCAGGCACGCTTGCAGAGGGAGGAGGAAGAGCGGCACCGCGACTTTAAATGGCAGTGGCAGGCGGAGGAAGAGAGCGAGAGGCGCCGCCATAGGCTGTCGGCCAGGCCCGCGTTGCAGGAGCTGCGGGAGAGACAGCTAAGAACCGAGGAGCGGCAGGAGCGGGAACTGTTCCGTGAGGAGGAGCTGCAGCGCCGCCAGCAACTCGAGAGGGGACAGGAGCAGCAGGTCCGTGAAGAAAAGCAGCTCCAGTTGGAGGAGAGCTTCCAAGAGGATCGGGAGAGGAAGCTACGCCAGGAAGAGAAGCGCCGCGAACAAAAATGGAGGTGGCAACCAGAGGAGGAAAGCCAGAGACGCCGCCACTCTCGTTCAGCCAAGCCAGCTGAACGAGAGCAGCTGAGGGAAAGAGAGCAGCTGAGGGAAAAAGAGCAGCTGCAGAGAGAGGAACGCGAGAAGAGGCGGCGCCAGGAGCCGGAGAGACAGTATCGCGAGGAAGAGCAGCTGCAGCGGGAGGATGAGCAGCTACAGAGGGAGAGGAGGCTCGAGCAGCGCGACAGGCAGTATCTGGAGGAGGAAGAGCTGCAGCGCCTGGACAGGAAGCGGCAATTCCACGATGAGGATCAGCGCCGTGATCTGAAATGGCAGTGGCAACCAGAAAAAGAAAATGAAGTTCGTAATCACAGGGTATACTCCAAACGCAGAGAGAATGAAGAAAAGATCCGGCAATTGGAAGATTCCCAGGTTCAAGAGAGACCATTCCAGCAGGATCGGTGGCCCCTACAGGATGAACAGAAAGAGGAGAGAGCGCGAGAAAAAGAAAGGACCTGGCAGCAGCGCGACAGGCAATTCCCAGCTGAAGAACTGCTGAAGCGAGAGGAGCAAAAGGAAGCCAACAGGCGGGACAGGAAGTTCCGCGAGGAAGAACAGCTCCTGCAGGAAAGGGAGGAACAGCTGCGCCGCCAGAAGCGCGACAGGAAATTCCGCGAAGAAGAACAGCGCCTGCAGGAAAGGGAAGAACAGCTGCGCCGCCAGGAGCGCGACAGAGAGTTCCGAGAGGAAGAACAGCTCCTGCAGGAAAGGGAAGAACAGCTGCGCCGCCTGGAGCGCGACAGGAAATTCCGCGAAGAAGAAGAGCGCCTGCAGGAAAGGGAAGAACAGCTGCGCCGCCAGGAGCGCGACAGAAAGTTCCGAGACGAAGAACAGCTCCTGCAGGAAAGGGAAGAACAGCTGCGCCGCAGAGAACGTGAGCAACAGCTTCGCCAGGAGCGCGACAGGAAGTCCCGCGAGGAGGAGCAGCTCCTGCAGGAAAGGGAAGAACAGCTGCGCCGCCAGGAGCGCGACAGAAAGTTCCACGAGGAGGAGCAGCCCCTGCAGGAAAGGGAGGAACAGCTGCGCCGCCAGGAGCGCGACAGAAAGTTCCGCGAGGAGGAGCAGCTCCTGCAGGAAAGGGAAGAACAGCTGCGCCGCCCGGAGCGCGACAGAAAGTTCCGCGAGGAGGAGCAGCTCCTGCAGGAAAGGGAAGAACAGCTGCGCCGTAGGGAACGTGAGCAACAGCTTCGCCAGGAGCGCGACAGGAAGTTCCGCGAGGAGGAGCAGCTCCTGCAGGAAAGGGAGGAACAGCTGCGCCGCCCGGAGCGCGACAGAAAGTTCCGAGAGGAAGAACAGCTCCTGCAGGAAAGGGAGGAACAGCTGCGCCGCAGGGAACGTGAGCAACAGCTTCGCCAGGAGCGCGACAGGAAGTTCCGCGAGGAGGAGCAGCTCCTGCAGGAAAGGGAGGAACAGCTGAGCCGCCAGGAGCGCGACAGAAAGTTCCACGAGGAGGAGCAGTTCCTGCAGGAAAGGGAGGAACAGCTGCGCCGCCAGGAGCGCGACAGACAGTTCCGCGAGGAGCAGCAGCTCCTGCAGGAAAGGGAAGAACAGCTGCGCCGCCCGGAGCGCGACAGAAAGTTCCGAGAGGAAGAACAACTCCTGCAAGAAAGGGAGGAACAGCTGCGCCGCAGGGAACGTGAGCAACAGCTTCGCCAGGAGCGCGACAGGAAGTTCCGCGAGGAGGAGCAGCTCCTGCAGGAAAGGGAGGAACAGCTGCGCCGCCAGGAGCGCGACAGACAGTTCCGCGAGGAGGAGCAGTTCCTGCAGGAAAGGGAGGAACAGCTGCGCCGCCAGGAGCGCGACAGACAGTTCCGCGAGGAGGAGCAGCTCCTGCAGGAAAGGGAAGAACAGCTGCGCCGCCTGGAGCGCGACAGAAAGTTCCGCGAGGAGGAGCAGCTCCTGCAGGAAAGGGAAGAACAGCTGCGCCGCCAGGAGCGCGACAGAAAGTTCCGCGAGGAGGAGCAGCTCCTGCAGGAAAGGGAAGAACAGCTGCGCCGCCCGGAGCGCGACAGACAGTTCCGCGAGGAGGAGCAGCTCCTGCAGGAAAGGGAGGAACAGCTGAGCCGTAGGGAACGTGAGCAACAGCTTCGCCAGGAGCGCGACAGGAAGTTCCGCGAGGAGGAGCAGCTCCTGCAGGAAAGGGAAGAACAGCTGCGCCGCCCGGAGCGCGACAGAAAGTTCCGAGAGGAAGAACAGCTCCTGCAGGAAAGGGAGGAACAGCTGCGCCGCAGGGAACGTGAGCAACAGCTTCGCCAGGAGCGCGACAGGAAGTTCCGCGAGGAGGAGCAGCTCCTGCAGGAAAGGGAGGAACAGCTGAGCCGCCAGGAGCGCGACAGAAAGTTCCACGAGGAGGAGCAGTTCCTGCAGGAAAGGGAGGAACAGCTGCGCCGCCAGGAGCGCGACAGACAGTTCCGCGAGGAGCAGCAGCTCCTGCAGGAAAGGGAAGAACAGCTGCGCCGCCCGGAGCGCGACAGAAAGTTCCGAGAGGAAGAACAACTCCTGCAAGAAAGGGAGGAACAGCTGCGCCGCAGGGAACGTGAGCAACAGCTTCGCCAGGAGCGCGACAGGAAGTTCCGCGAGGAGGAGCAGCTCCTGCAGGAAAGGGAGGAACAGCTGCGCCGCCAGGAGCGCGACAGAACGTTCCACGAGGAGGAGCAGTTCCTGCAGGAAAGGGAGGAACAGCTGCGCCGCCAGGAGCGCGACAGAAAGTTCCGCGAGGAGGAGCAGTTCCTGCAGGAAAGGGAGAAACAGCTGCGCCGCCAGGAGCGCGACAGACAGTTCCGCGAGGAGGAGCAGCTCCTGCAGGAAAGGGAAGAACAGCTGCGCCGCCTGGAGCGCGACAGAAAGTTCCGCGAGGAGGAGCAGCTCCTGCAGGAAAGGGAAGAACAGCTGCGCCGCCTGGAGCGCGACAGACAGTTCCGCGAGGAGGAGCAGCTCCTGCAGGAAAGGGAAGAACAGCTGCGCCGCCAGGAGCGCGACAGACAGTTCCGCGAGGAGGAGCAGCTCCTGCAGGAAAGGGAAGAACAGCTGCGCCGTAGGGAACGTGAGCAACAGCTTCGCCAGGAGCGCGACAGGAAGTTCCGCGAGGAGGAGCAGCTCCTGCAGGAAAGGGAAGAACAGCTGCGCCGCCAGGAGCGCGACAGAAAGTTCCGCGCGGAGGAGCAGCTCCTGCAGGAAAGGGAAGAACAGCTGCGCCGCCAGGAGAGTGACAGGAAGCTCCGCGAGGAGCAACAGCAGCTTCGCCGGAGGGAACGTGAGCAACAGCTTCGCCAGCAGCGCGACAGAAAGTTCCGCGAGGAGGTGCAGCTCCTGCAGGAAAGGGAAGAACAGCTGCGTCGCCAGCAGGAGGAGGAGCAGAGGCGGCGCGGTGTCTGGGAGGAAGGAGACAAGGGCAGTCAGCAGGCTCTGGAGCCGAGCAAGCGTCAGTTTGCCAGTGTCCCGGTGCGCTCCAGCCCTCTGTACGAGTACATCCAAGAGCAGAGATCTCAGTACCGCCCATAAGAGATGCTGCCAATACCCGGACACCTGCCAAAGCTTCCAGCAAAGGAAAACGAGAAACACTGGATACCAAATGACTCAAATGTTTCTGGTTGTGGGAGAACTCTCTGATGTTCTAAAATCTTTTTTTTCCAAAACCTTAAACTACACTCATTTCATGTACCTTGTACTCTTGCCTTTTATTCTTCCTGAAATAATTCTTTACTGCAGGGTGTCTTTGCTCTTTGGTGCAGATGTGGTGTGCATTTTTTAAAAATATAAATCATTTAATTTGTTTAAGGAGTTTTGTTTGGGGAACATTAATTTATTGCTTTCAAAAGTAACAAGAATAATATGATTTAAGATTCAAAAGAACTGGGTCTGTTTTTTTAATGGTTGATCCATCTTTTGGAGAGTTCAAATATTTTTAATGTTCCAGTTGGCATTTCTTCTTGAGCCTAAAGTACATTAATATTTGCCTCCAAATAGACTCGCTTTTGTGGCGTAATTAGCACAGATTCTGCAAGGGGACTGAATTTTTACAGCCCTTGAATAGCACAGGGGGAATGACTTCTACAGAAAAATTCCCTCTGAAATCAGTCCCTAACAGAAAGAAGTATCTTTATTTAGCTTCAAGACTTAGAATTTGAATTAGATTTTTTTTCACACTTCATAAGCACTTAAAATCTCATGAAGCAAAAGCAAGATGTTTCTCAAACAACTCCAGAGTTCAAATTTTAAAACAGTCTACTGTAGTCTGTAGTGCTCAGTTCTTTTCCCCCAGTCTTTGATGAGTTTGAGACTATTACTACCTTTGTTCATTTTAACTGAGAGGAAACCTGCTCAGTATCCTGTAAACATCTATTTAGCTCTAGAGCCAATAAGAGATCACAGCATTTTGGGGGAGGCAAAGGGAAAATTTGTGAACAGAAGGGCAAATTCCTAGAGGCCCTTAGGTGAGACTCATCAGCCCACAATCCTTTGAGGCCTATTGATACTACTTTGGAGACATTCTTGTTGAAATGATTGGACTGTGTAAAAAATAATAAATGTTTGGCAAACAATTATTTTTGTCTGTTTTGATTATGCATCAAATCATAATTCAAAATCTAATGGTCTGTAACTGATATAAGCTCCCACATAAGGGTATTTGGCTACTATTGTCTATGTCTAAATATGAAAAAGGAAAAAAAAAAAAAAACCTATTTTCCCCTACCACTTTTTCCCTGTTAGGTTGAACCCTACATTATTTCCATCTCCAAGCTACAATTCTCTTTCCAAGCGTTTTTATTCTTGACCCCACAGCTTTCTATCCTTGCAGTGACTCACTAGTCATGACATTGTACAAAATTATTTGTATAATGTGTTTGTTAATTCTTCCTTCTGAGAATACAGCAGCTTCTTGGTATCTGGTGTCTGATAAGCCAAGAATAAAAAATAGCCTGAAAGTTCAGCTCAATATTACAGAAATTACAGATGACCTGTTGACTTAAGCAACATAATCCATGAGGTGACACAGTCAGAAGATGCTTAATACTGGGGCGCCTGGGTGACTCAGCTGTTAAGGGTCTGCCTTCGGCTCAGGTCATGATCCCAGGGTCCTGAGATCGAGCCCCACATTGGGCTCCCTGCTCCGGGGGAAGCCTGCTTCTCCCGCTCCCACTCTCCCTGCTTGTGTTCCCTCTCTCGCTGTGTCTCTCTCTGTCAAATAAATAAAATCTTTAAAAAAAAAAAAAGGATGCTTAATACTAATCAGGCCAAAGTATAAAATTGTTATCTAATAATCCAAACACTCCTCTGCCACCTGCTGAAGTCTATATTCAGCATTCATATCTTAGTAACTAGGAATAAGTCCAAGAACGCCCTGATCCAGGAAAGGATCATTTCTAATTGTGAGGGTCATGGGTGAGAAGATGTTCTAAGTTACAGACACTTAACATTTTGATCAATGGTAGAGACAATAAAGCGAAGCCTGTAGCTCCTGAAAATCATTCCAATAGAGTAAGGTGACATTTTCTGCAAGGAGCACCAGCCTCTCTCTCACTTTAACACAAATAGCAGATACCCACAAAAGACAGAACCTGGGAATCCCCTGATACTACCTTGGAACTCCATCTCTTTCAAATGATTTCTAACTGCAAAACTATTTTTCTCTTTAAGGCAAGTGTAAGCTTCTCCTTACTTAATCTTCACAGAAACCCTAGAAGAGCTGCAGGGGCTTTCCCCAGGATCCTCTCAATGGGCACTCATTTCAGAGCCTCCTTATAAATATCAGCCCCAGGATACTCCAGAAATATACACTCATCATCTAAGCTACAGTTCAACTATAACAAAAACAAAGCCCTTCAGACTTCTTGTAGCACTTTACAAGATGAGAAAAGGGCCAATTTCCAAAGAAGAAAGTAGGGTTTCATCACAGTTATAATAACATGTTGTTAGAAAAAAAAATGTCAGCCAGTCCATGCCCTGTGGCTCTTCTTTTAGTGGCTGGCAAGAGAACAGGCTGGCAAGCCAATCTTCCTGTTCCACCTGAATAATGTACACGCATGGGCAGAACCTTGAGGCTATTGGGCAACTGGCTGCTTAACTATAAACTGGGAGCTCTATTAACATCAACTGGCTGCTACTAGGGAATGGGATTGAGAGTTTAATACATATGATCTGTGATGGAAAAGCTGGTCTCCATGTTATGGGCTGAATTATGTCCTCTCTACAGGTTCATATGTTGAAATTCTAACCTCAGCACATTATTATGTAGCCATATTTGGAGATGCAGTATTTAAATAAGTAATTAAATTAAAATGAGGTCACTTGGTAGGCACTAATCCAATATGAATGTTGTCCTTATAAGAGGAGGAAATTTGGACACAGACATGGAGGGAGGAAAAATGATATGAACATACAGGAAGAAAATGGCCATCTACAAGCCAAGGATAGAGATCCTCAGAACAGATCCTTCTCTCATGGCCCTCAGAAGAAACCAACCATCCCGACATCTTGATCTTACACTTCTAACATCCAGAACTGTAAGAAAATAAATTTATGTTGGTTAAACCACCCAGTCTGTGGCACTTTGTTATGATAGCTCTAGCACACTAATACACCATGTAAGGTGAGGTTATGTTGCTAGGGAAATATCTGTATTATAATGTGATGATTTTTATTTATCCTTTGACATTTTACAAGCAGATCCTGGTTCCTCAAAGACACTTCACTAAATCTGCCATAGTTTCTGTGGTGCAGTGGAAAGACTGCTACAAGGAATCAGAAGCCTGGAGTTCATTCATTCATTCATTCATTCAGCAAATATTTCTTTATTGAGTTCTTGCTATGTGCAAAGCATTCTAAGGCACTATATACAGTAGTGAAATAGTCCTTCTCACCTGTTCCTTCACTTTACTATCTGTGTATCCTTGTGCAAATCACTTAGGCTTTCTGGGCCTCGTTTAGTATTTTGAACTATGAGGTTGAAATAGCTATCACCAAGGTTATTCCTAGGACCGGAAAAAAATTAATTCTTACATTCAGTTTGTTCAACTGAAACTCTAAAAGCAAGTCAAATAATGCCTCACCCTAGTTTCTACCTTGAGCTAAGAGAAAGCAGGAAAAAGAATTAACTGATGGTGATCATCAGAGCCTAGTTCTAGCTTCAAAGATCTTGCCTTTCTAGCCAATCAGATCTGGTTCTGATTGTTCCTTCCATTTATCTCCCAAATTCCTCTCCAGAGTGGTTTCCTATCATCCCAGGTTTATTCATTAAGGGAGAAGACCCTAAACCTACCTCATTTTCTATGATCCTTGTTCTACTAAAGACCATTAGCCTTCTGATTTATGAACTTCACATATACACTTAATTACTTCTACTTGTTTCAGAGGAGAAATTAAGTCCTGGAACTTGGTTCCACTCAAAGTAAAAGTCAGTGGCCATTAGTTAAGTGTGAACCCATCTCTGTTCCATCTTCTGCACTAATTACACATTGTTAATATTTTCATTCAGTCACAGTAATTAGTCTGTTCAGCAAGTGTACTGGTACTATAAGCCTCTGAAGATTGTGATCTATGTAATATATAATAAGCACATTTCCCTTGTCAGTTAAGAGTTGACAGTGACATGCAGTAACCTAAAATTAATGCAAAATATAGATTTCTGAACAGGTTATCATTTTCTGAACCATCAGAACATCCATGGCAAGCACTCGAATTACAAAAACTTTTAAAAATTTTATTTCTATTTGTCATCACTCCCCTTTAAAAGAAAAAATGGGTGTGTCATTTTCTGCAAGATAAAGTCTAAGATCTTCAGTTTGGAATTTAAGGTCCTCCACATTCTCCTGATAATACACCTTCTAACCCTGGCCTCCTCAATATCTCTTGAACCAACCATGTTGTTAAAAGCAGACTAAGTCTGTGTTGTTATCAGGACACCTTATGATTGTCCTTCCTTCAAAAACTTATTGGCATAATTTTATCTATTTGGAATGCCTCCCTCCCTATCTACCTGGATACTTTCTACTCAGTTTAAAAGACCCAGGTTGAGTCCCACCTCTTTCCTAAAATCTTCCCTAATCATTCTGACATACATTCATTCACTGAGATTCTAAGATATCTATCATCTTTACTACTCATTAATTGATTACAACATTCTGCCTTAGTTGGCTTTATACTTGCTTCATCTCCCAAATAGATTGTAAAGATATTGAAAGCAGAGACTACAATTTGGAATTATTTATTTTGTATATTCTTTCCATGATAAACAATAAGCAATAGAACTCTATGAAATTCTGATGAAATATGTGGACTGTCTCACTAGAAAAATATACATACTCAAAAATTTCACCTAGGATTTCAGAAGTTCCTAGTCCCTATGAAGCCAAGGAGGTGTGAGAATGTAGGCATTCAATAAATATTTGTCACATGAATTACTATAACCCTTATATTTCGTTTAGTCCAAGGTTTCTCCTGTCCATCTAACATATCATCCCTCCCTTCTGAATACTGAAGCCCTAAGCCCCTTCTTGTATTTTGAAAATTCCTCAATGTTGAGCATTACTAAATGTTCATGAAGGGGAGGAGAAAGGTTGGATGGGGTTTTGGCACAACGCAGGATTTTATAAAATAGGAGAGACTTGAGCAGATGTAAATGCTGATGGGAAGGAACCAATAAAGAGAGACTGCAGTATAGAAAATAGAGGGAATTATCAACATAGAAGATTTCTTGAAAAGGGAGGAAAAGGCAGGATCCAGAGAGAAAGAGAGATTAGGCTTAGATGGATACCTTTTCTAATGTCATAGAAAGAAACCATGCATGTAAATAGATGCCAGTAAGTTTGTAGTTTGGTGGAAGAAAGTTAAGGGGTTCTCCTCTGATGACTTTTATTTTCCTTATGAAGTAAACAGGCAGGACCATCTTCCAAGAGTGGAGGGGGAGGAGGTTGTCAGATAACCAAAGGGAGTGAAGATGTTTTAAAATAACTGTTGTATTACAAAGCTCTAGTCATCAAAACAATATGGAACTGGCACAAAAATAGACACATAGATCAATGGAACAGAATAGAAAATCCTGATATAAACCCACAACTATATGGTCAATTAATCTTTGACAAAGCAGCAAAGAATATCCAATGGGATAAAGACAGTCTCTTCAACAAATGGTGTTGGGAAAACTGGACAACATTCAAAAGAATGAAACTGGACCACTTTCTTACACCACACACAAAAACAAATTCAAAATGGGTTAAAAACCTAAATATGAGACCTGAAACCATAAAAATCCTAGAAGAGAACACAGGCAATAACTTCTTTGACATTAGCCATAGCAACTTCTTTCTAGATATATCTCCTGAGGCAAGGGAAACAAAAGCAAAAATAAACTCTTGGGACTACATCAAAATGAAAAGCTGCACAGCAAAGGAAACAATCAACAAAACTGAAAGGCAAACTTCAGAATGGGAGAAGATCTTTGTAAATGACATATTCAATAAGGGGCTATTATCCAACATATTTAAAGAACTTATAAAACTCAACAGCTCAAAACAATCGAATTTAAAAATGGGTAGAAGACATG